ACAGTGGACTGTGCCAGAGAGGCATTGTATATGTCTGTAAAGGGGGCCGCAAGTTGGTTGGCACACGCTTTTAATTGAATTGGTGGATGTACATTGGTGGTGGACACTACAGTCATTGGCCTGAACTTTGCCTGAAACTCTCAGACTGAAGAAGTCTCTTGGAGGAGAGACGAAACGTTTCATTAGAGAAGAACCCGTCCAGAGGACCTATACAATTTTTTTTTTTTTTTTTTTTACCTGGACTACTGAGATGCATCAGGACACACGCTTTTAAGATTCTGCCTGGGATTCCGTCTGGGCCGGCTGCTTTCCAGGCTGGTACTCGCATCAGAGCGCTCCTCACCTCTTCAGTAGCCGATATGAGTGACTCGTCTGTGGTGGAGGAGGGCAGARCAGTGGTGGTCAGCTGTGCCTGAGCAGTGTCCTCAAAGCGAGCATAGAAGGTGTTCAGCTCAGCAGCGAGGGAGGAGTCTGTGCATGTGGTGCTGTTGGCTTTACTTTTATAGTCAGTGACAGTTTGGATTCCTTGCCACATACGTCTGGGGTCTGAGCTGGAGTTGAAGTAGGCTGCAGTTTGTGTGCTGTAGGTGTGTTTAGCAGCTCTAATGCCAACCTTCAGATTGTGTCTGGCAACTTTAAGTTCTTCACTGTTGCCAGATCTAAAGGCAGCATCTCGAGCCTTCAGCAGGCTACGAACTTCGCTGTTCATCCACGGCTTTTGGTTTGGGAGTGTGCGAATTTGCTTTATTTCAGTCACATCATCCACACACTTCTTGATGAACCCAGTGACAGATGATGCATGTTCATTTACATCAACAAGCAGGTCACTGGTGGCTGCTGTTTTAAACACATCCCAGTCAGTACACTCAAAGCAGTCCTGCAGAGCTGATTCAGCCCTTTCTGGCCACACACGTACAGTCCTCACACTCGCTTTAACCCGCTGTAGCAGCTGTTCATATGTGTGTTTCATGAGGAGTGAAATGTGGTCACTCTTACCAAATGGAGGCAGAGGGGTGGTGCTGTACACCTTCTGGATGTTGGTGTAGACGTGATCTAGTGTGTTTTCTCTTCGTGTTGGGTATGATACGTGCTGGTGAAGCCTGGAGCAGACTGTTCTGAGGTCAGTACTGCAACAATGAGCGCAGCCTCTGGGTGATGAGACTGTTGTTGGATAATAGCATTAGCTAGCGTAGCTAGCGCCAGCTTAGCGTCACTATGTGGAGGAGTATAGACAGCCCATATTTGGATTATGGTGAATTCCCGGGGGAGGTAGAAGGGCCGGCATCTCACCACCATGTACTCCAAGTCAGGGGAGCAGAATCGCTCGACAACAGCTGAGTTGGTGCACCACCGATCGTTTACAAACACACACAGTCCTCCACCCTTTGTTTTGAGTGATGGCGGTGCGCTGTTAGCCCCTGTAGCCTGATAGCAGAGTCCAGTATGCAGTTATGGAGCCAAGATTCTGTGAAAATGAAAACACAGCAGTTCCTTGTTTGGCGATCTGAAATGAGCCTGAGTCTTAGTTCGTCCATTTTATTATCCAGCGATCGGACATTAGCGAGCAGCAGCGTGGGGAGTGGTATCCTAGCTAGCTTCGCTAGCCGCCCTCAGACACCTGCTCGCTTACCCCGCTTCTGTTTACGTTYGCATGCCCGTCGTCCGCGTCTTCCGGTCGGATACGGCTCCGCATTAGCTTGCGTTGTTCTGAGTCGGAGAATATCCAGCGTGAAGTCGGCAACTGGTAGGCTGAAAGATACATTTATACAGCACTTACCAATATCTAGCAGTGTTTTTCTGTCATAGACTATGCTATATTTGCCCATCTTGGACAGAAGGTGACATAGATACTTTATTATGGTATAGTATTTAAATGTATGCCTGAGAAACACGTAATATTGCCTCTTTAAAAGTTAGCAAACTATAAAATAATACAGCCACCTACCTGACTAACATCCTCCTCCCGGCCAAGCTGTAGGTTCCACTGAGGATGAGGATGATRAAYCAGCAGAAAATAAATTTGTCAGTTTCGGACACTTGGCTGCATTTACTTGTAGAGTGTGCCTTTTCTTTTCTCTCAACGTTTGTGCTCCTCCCTTATGTTTGTTCTCCATTTTTGCTCTTTTTTCTTCTTCTTCCAACTRCACAACTTTATTTAATTATTTTCCTCGGCTGCTTGCACCAGCCCAGTGATGCACCAGCCCAATGGCCAGTCCACCCCTGGTGGTAAGTTTGCCTCTCGTTTAAGTTATTTATCAGCTGAGACAGTTTTGTTCCAGTTTGTTTGCATGTTTTAAAAACTCTGGTATTAAAAGCCATGAATGATGAGCATTCCTCCCTTTAAATTAACCTACTTTTTGGCGTATTGTTTGTTTTTCCATGCCATATGTTTAGCTTGGTGTTTACATCCTGTACAAATCAGCTGTAACAATCTGTTCTCTCTGAAAATCAGAGTGTTGGTGGATTTTCTGKGAAACTTCTGTACTTTTCAGAACATTTTTTTTTTTGGACTCGGAGCATTCAGATGGAAATTTTTGTTGCTCCCTCCGTACTTCTGCTTCCAACATCTAAGTGTTAATAAGTTGCTTCTGGTATCGGTTCAGCTGAACTCTCTGAGCCAAATGCAACAAGCACAAGAACCAGTTCAGTTAGTTCAACAAGAAGAGGGGCTATATTTGTCCTCTTTGATTTCCTCGCCTGATATTTTGGGGTTTTAACGAGAGTAACCAAGTCGCTACAAGGAATGGTACTTCTTGTACACACTGGTTAAAAGATGAGCCTAAGAACAGCAGCCAGAATTTATTTTAAAAGCAAAACAAAGCATTTCTTTGTCTCTACTGGTTCTTTCACATCTCAGATTTCCTTTTTGTCTTGGAAAAGATGATGCAGATTTCGGCCAAATCCAAGTTTTGGCTAAAAGACTGCTTTTGTAACAAGGTTCCCCTTTCCTCTCTCATTTCTTTCTCTTTCCTTTTTTTCCTGGTTTTTGTTGATGTTTGTTCTAGAGCTGTTCTTATCTCAGGTTCTGTTTGTCAGTGTGGATAAAAAAGGGTTTTGATTTGAAATTAGTTTCAGAATTCAACATATTATTGATTGTTGAAAGTTAATATTTAAAATTTGAGAAGGAGTTGAATTTTTTTAGTATGTTTTGTTATTTGAAGATTATTGTTTTGATGTTTGTTCTAGAGCTGTTCTTATCTCAGG